GCGTCCCACGTGGGCTTCATCAAACACTACCTCATTTGATTTCTTTTCCTTCCACGATACTCTTAGCAGTCTCCTAAGAAACCACATTTATGAATGAATAAATACGAATAAATGAATGAATAAATAGGTAAATAAATAGGAAATAAGTATTCCAGGTAAAGATCCACGTCCAATACATTCCTCTCTACGTAGTGACAACTACAATTTGTACATGATAACCTCTTCTTGAGGTTCGATACGTTAGCATACTGTGGAAAGAGAGGCTAGGATCTGTCGACATAATATGACTCAGAAAGAGATAAAATGTCCAGATCAGTCCCAGAAGCAAATAAAGTAGAATAAAGTTGTTCCCGCATCTGATCCAGACATTCGATATTACCCTGTTAGTGAGACAACTTCCTGGGCCTTCGACATATTGTGGTAGGGTGGCCAGTCCTTTCCACGCCGCCTTTACTTCCCCAACTCGAAGTCAGGTACCCATTACTGCTGGGTGGGCAGGAGGGGGCGAAAAAAAACCCCGTGTCTGAAGCGGGGCTCGAACCCAGACTTCCCGCTTCGGAGACGAGCGCACTAACCGCTCTGCCACTGCACTCTCCAGAAGCAAGTACACAATAATAATAATATTATCGCGAGCTGAAAGATGTCTTGTACTAACTAATTTTTTTTTCGACTTTGGGGAGTATAAAAGCTGTCAAGTAGTTGAAAAAATCATCGTTAGAGTCCAAACGTAATGTATGGTTAATGACCGTGTTCTGTAGAATTTCAGAAAACTCATCCGTTTTGTTGTTGTTGTTGTTGTTGTTGTTGATGATGTTGTTGTTGTTGATGTTGTTGTTGCTGTTGTTGTTGTTGTTGTTGTTGATGATGATGGTGTTGTTGTTGCTGTTGTTTTTGTTGTTGTTGTTGTTGTTGTTGATGATGATGTTGTTGTTGCTATTGTTTTTGTTGTTGTTGTTGTTGTTGTTGTTTTTCTTCTTCTTCTTCTTCTTCTTCTTTTTCTTCTTCTTCTTCTTCTTCTTCTTCTTCTTCTTCTTCTTCTTCTTCTTCTTTTTTGTGACTGAAGTAGAGTGCTTTCCAAATACTTTCCATCAAAACTGCAACAATGGAGTTACAACAAGACAGCAATAAGTTTGCGATATAACTTGTTATCAGAAGTCATTTTCTGCAGTCCTGCGAATCAATTGTCACTTCTCCGCCATAATAATTTCTTTTCTTCTAGATCTAGTCCAGCAAAAGCAGAGATTTTAGAAAATTCTTCATCTTTTCCTTTGAATTGAATTAACTTTTTATGTCATTGCCAATACTTAGATAATTTAGGTGGAAAATGGTATAGCACTGAGCATTCACTTGTACTCAGACTAGTCTTTAATTTCATGCCAAGAAGCTACACAGCAAAGATCTCGATTAATTCAGTGATACAGGAGGGAGCGGTGGCGGAGTGGTTAGTGCGCTCGTCTCAGAAGCGGAAAGTCCGGGTTCGCGCTTCGGTTCCGAAACGAATTATTTTCACCCCCTCCTGCCCACCCAGCAGTAATGGGTACCTGACTTACTTCCAGTGTGGGAAGTAAAGGCTGTGTGGAAAGGAACTGGCCACCCTACCACAATATGCCGAAGACCCAGGAAGTTGTCTCACTAGCAAGGCAATCCCCAATGTCGAGATCGGATGCGGGAACAACTTTACTTAACTTTTACTGAAATAAATTTGGGATATTTAAAAGTTGGAATACAACAAAACTATCAGAAGACAAACAATTAATGTGAAACAGTCTTCAGTGCAGCAAGGGTCAACAATCATTCTCACTACACCGTTCCAACTTTTCTGTGTGCAGAAACAGAGGGTCCCAGAGCCAGAGTTGAGAGAAGAAGCTCGCCACAGACTGATCCTGAAGCCATGGGGGACTGGAGCCCAAGGGCTAGCTGTGCCTCGGCTTACACAGCCTGGATAGCGCTTCTAGGTAACTCTTCTTCTTTCTATTTTTGTAAGTGTTTTACGGCACTAGCAGCTGCATAAGGTCATATGTGAGGTGTGCTGACAAAATGAGTTACTTCTCGGATTTCAGGCTAATGAAATTGGTACATCACCTTTATAGATTGAGTTTTTACAGTTTGTAAGAATGGAATAGTAAACGACGCGGTAGACTTGAAGAAAATGGCGTCATTGAAAATCTATTATTCTGACCTCAGTGTCGATTTTTGGCCGATATCTCCTTTCTTGGATTGCGAGAAGTAATTCATTTTGCTAGCATACCTCACATATGAGCGCGCGGGACACATTAAACTATACATCTATTATTTATGTATTTGGCAGCTTGGAAACACGTGTGTCACTTTTCTGTCAAGAGATATTGCTCCAATTCAATAGAGTGTAAGTATTGTAGGCCAATGGCTTTCAGTTGATGTTAACGCACCGATCTTTCCTGTCTTCGGTAGAAACCATCCCCACACGGGAGTTGAACTCATGTCTTCAACGTACGTCGGCCAAATGCCAAACTGTTGCACCGTAGATGCTGGGGCACAAAGTGATGTTTGCAGCAGCGAGCACTTCTTATTTTATATAACACACACATTGACACCCTTTTCCCTTTATAAACAATATCTCTCCACTCCCAGCCCCCCCCC